GAGATCAACAGTCATTTTTTTTTCACCCTAACACATACAAAAGCCTCCCTCAGTCAGACTGAACACAAACTGAACTGACTGCTGCAGCTGGAACCTGCTGCACAGACTGATACACTTCACTGAGGACATACGCCTTTACTTCCCCATTGCAGCTTTTCACCATCCATTCATAATCCCGTGTTCTTATTTGTAGATTAATTTCCTGGAGAGTTACATAAAATCAACTTCATCCAAATCATACTGTATTTAAATTGTGAATGAAGATGTCACACAAAAATTTAATTTCTTACATTTTGAGTACAGTGCACAACTTTAATGTTGTGCTATACTATGGACTGATGCCACTTAAAGCATAAGTCATTGCACTTTTATGTTAACTGTCATTTTTATACCAGAAACACTGCATCATTGTCAAGTACCCATATCAGTATTTGGTCTTAACAGACTGGTATCGGTGCATCCCTATCTAAGAAACTAAATGACCAAATGTGTGTCACAGCATGGCTGCAAATATTCAAAGCACATTCCTCTTTATAAGATATGTTTACCCTGAACAAAGTAAATGAGGCCACAGGTTAAAATCCTCAGTCCCATAAGTCATGATTCTGTACCAGTCACATCCAGCACATTCAGATTCTCCTTAAAGCTGGATTGATCTTGTCTCAGTTGATAAGACAAAAACAAATACTTCTCATTAGAAAGGGTCAAGTATGGCAGACTGGTTCGCTTATGTCGAGTAAGATCCCCCTTTAGAACCTCGGGACAACCTAAGGCAGGCAAAGCCATGAGTACTGGGCCTGGGTGCTGCTGTGAGCAGGCACAGTGAGCAGCACGAAGCTCATGTTCTTGCACAAGAGAATAAAAGCCAGAATGAAAATAGTAGGACAAATCCTATAGAGTAGAATGATCTAGTCCAGAGGAGGGGGTGGTGTGCTTTGCCCTTCAAAGTGTTCATTGATAACTATGACACCCTGTCACTGACCTCTCATAATAAACCTTCAGGGTCTGATGCCCCCCTAAGGCTTTATTAAAATGGCAGCATCTGCCCTTAAGAAAAGCCATGCAAACAGTCTGACATGCAGAGCCTCCTCAGTCTCTATCACAATTGAAAATTACTATAACCATTTGTTATTACTGCTTCTACTACTACTGCAAGACAAGATTTTAACTAAAAGTCAAAATGAAAAGCTGAGGTAAACACGATAGAGAAAGTGGACAGTCTCAGTCGTCCAGGTCATGGTTATTTCCAGAAGCATGACCTCAATGGCCCTCAAGGTGTTAACTCCACAGAGGTCAAACATCTGGGACTCTGCACTGGTTGGTTAGAGCTGAAGAAGTTTCTCAAATAAGAGGTAAAACA